TTAAATAATAACTGTTAATTCAATTGCCCATCTCATAATAATATAGTTAATTCAACTGCCTCTGGTCGGGTTGACAAGTTCTTACCCAACATATCTTGAAAATCACACCATCTGAAGTGATTTGGCAACGTAGCACACGCCCTACAAAAGAATTTTCGTTCCATCATTCTACATGGACACTGCTAACCTTCGGCCATCTGTTAAAAGGTTCATATTACTCATGATTCTATGCTCACCATTTTGTGCAATCATCAAGTATCTTCACGATGTAATGCTTAACGTTCGTTTTAAATATTTTTAATCTGTTTTTACTTTGTTCTTGTCATACAGCTGTGTGTAGTCTGTATAATTTTGACCATTGTATCATGTATACAGCTTTCACCATGTTACTGGGTGTTTCCTTCATCCTTTAGCAACATCCTCACATACTACTGTAAGTTAATTTAAATTTTACACATTTGTTGCTACTGTTATCAATGTAATTGCAGCTCCTGATGATGATGGCAAAGACCACTGAAAGCTAGAGAGAATAAAAAAGTATAAAGAGTCCTCCTTGCTTAAATTTTGTCGAAGTACCCAACAAAAGGCGGAAGCTTTAATTTTTCACCTAACTGGTCTAGACGACAATGACCACGTCTCAAGTTACGTAACTGAGTATTTTACTTGAAAAAATTCAATTTTATTCGATAGCACTTTTCTGAGACAAAGAAATATTACATGGAAGATTTCATATACAACTTTTTATTCTGAGAAGTCATATAAAAAAGTTGGACCAGGGTCAATTTATGCCCTGACACCCTGTACAAAACAATAAGGATCTTTTCCGATTGTCCAGCTACACATAAAGCGCGAGTAAACTCCATCTAATATCGATAGTAAGCTGTATACTGATCAAAAGGGTAGCTTGTTTTTGAGAAGTAGATGCTAGTTTACGCCTATAGCATCACAGGCAGTCATTTGAGTTACATGTACTGGTACTGCTTGTCAGAAAGACCCTCCTCCCTACTTTTCTTGAATGGGTCAAATTACCAAGCTGTTGCATTGGGATCATGGAAATGACGCATACATTCTATAGTATAACGTAAAATAAAATATATTTCACAAATACAGGGTGTCCTGAAAGTTTGGACCTTCTTTTATATTGCGTGTAGATCTTGGAAAAATTAGTAACCTGCACACCAAGGTCTGAAAAGGAAAGTCCCAACTTTCAACTGTATATTGAAGTTCTAAATGGCGGCAATTTTTAAAATATAATCGTCGTCGTGTCATAACCTATGCTCCTTATCAGCACTTCATAATTCTAGAATATATCTTGAGCAATGGCGAATTGAGAAGATGTCGAAGCTCAGCGTTTTTGTTTATTGAATTGTTGATAACACAACAAGTTATCATCAAGGCGTTGTAGTATGTGATATCGATATTCTTCTTTTAGAGAAGTCCATCTGTATATGGGACATTCGGTTAAAAAAAGTAATAGATACTGGCATTTTTTAAATGAAATATTCCATATTCCAAGATAGGGACATATTTATATGACATACTATAGATGGTTGGTTGTTGAGATACAGGCGACTAAACGTACTAAACGCTCAAATTTGGCGGCACGCCAAGTCGTCATTTTGAAAGATCGTTGTAACTTTTGAAAAGCACTGTATAATACGACGGAGCCTATGATTGACGATGGAAAAAAGTCTAAAAATACTGGGTGATATTATATATATATATATATATGTGTGAAAAACTAGGGATTAATTGCTAGGGCCGAATAGAAGAAATATCAAAGTTCTGGTGGAACTCGAACTATATAAGGATGTAGCATGTTAGGCACGGCGGAAGAGGTCGAATGCAGACTGTGGTTGGAGGGAGATGAAATGGTCGAAACACAATCTACGCACATATCGTACAGAGTTGGTGGATAGTATTTTGTGTCTTGATAAATTCAAAATCACTTGAATATGGGAAGTTTGAAAACCCGCGGGTTGTGAGTCCAGTGACTGATGAGTGTCATGTACTCGTACATACATAATATATTAATGCTGTATGAATTATGATGAACGAAGAAGAAGTAATTTGTTTTGTTTTTAATTGGTTTTCGTCCAGCTTTTGATAAATACTTCCATTATGTGTGTATACACATATCTCAAATAAACAAATCTACGACCTACTGCACAGTATATTAGCAAAAATACTCAAATAGAGCAAGATATCCAAAACAATAAAGAAGAGATCAAGAAGGAAATCCTAATTTTATGACAAGACATCACGACAGAGCTATATAACCTAGAAAGAGAAAACTAAAAATTAAAAGAAAAAATCGACAAGTTAGAAGAAGAACTGAACAGTACAGAACGCCGAAAAAGTATAACATAATATTTTATGGAGTGAAAGAAGCTGAAGACACAGTTACTGACTTGGACAGTATTTTGAAAATTAAATGTAGCTTTGCTGATTGCCGGGATGTACACAGAATAGGGAGGAAGCAACAAAACAAAGTCAGACCGATGTTGCCGTAGTAATAAATTATCAACTAAAGAAAGTAAGTCCGGAGAATTCGAAGAAGCTGAAAGATACTGGAATCTATTTAAGTTTGGATTACACAAAACAAGATTATCAACAAAGAAAAATATTGTATACAGACTTGAAGGTGGCTAAAAGTGCTGGACTGTAGGGTAGAATACACAAAAATACACTTCACATAGGAGAGGACATTTTTATATCTGACGATTTATCACAGGGGACTCCCGATGTTTTAACGGCGGCACTTGTGAAGCTGAATGTGGTACCCCAAAACACAGGAGAAGATTCAAGAAACTCTTTGAAAAGAAAAACATTGGTGAGGAAAAACCCAAGAGATCCACCAGAATCAAGAGCACCAGTAAAAAAAGAAATATACTTACCCATCACGAGTACTAATACCGGTTGTTCTTCAGCTCATTGACAGACCAATTTTTTAAATGTTACAATTTTGTCATTTTGGTATATTTTTTACACTTTCAGCATGCAGTGAATATGTATACTACTTATAGAATATACGGTATTTATTTACTTCTCATCCATTGCCAAATGTAACCATTAACCGTTGATCTCAATTTTATCCTTATTACCAGTGTGTAACTGCTAAATCTAAACAAATAAAGTTTTTAAGGTACTATTAGTTATATGGCAATATATGCAAAACTTCAAAAATTGGAAATGGAACCCCTGTATTAAGGAGTTCAAAACCAAAACAATCCAAACAAAAACATTGAGAAATATTGATGAATGTAATGTACTTTTATCATCATACCCGAATAAACAAGAGTTAAAAGTACTGCAACTTAATATCCGTAGTATAAATAAAAATTTTGATGAGCTCAAACTTATGTTACACAATTTGAGTGAGATCTGCGACATTATTGTGTTGTCAGAAACCTGGAAAATTGAAGACGTATCTATGTTTCAACTATCCAATTATGCAATGTTTTATAATGGGGTAGCGTCAACAAAAATGATGGGGTCGTTGTTTAACGTAAATAGGAACATAAACGTTTCAGAAGATAAAATTACTTCTTTGCAGAATACTATGATAAAAGTATTACACTTGATTACACACAAATATAGCAAGAAAATTGCAGTTACGGCACTATACAGGCCACCATCAACTAATGCTAACACTTTTGTGGAAGATTTAGAAGTGTACCTAAAACAAAGTAGCAAACATGTGGATATGCATATTTTGACGGGTGGTATAAATATCAACATTCTGGAACACTATTAAACATCTTAGAATTATTTAAATCTTTTATCCGAGCATAACTTTATCTCTAGCATTAGCAACTTTACAAGAGTAGACTTAATGTCGAAAACATGTATTGATCATATATTTGTGAAAAGAAAGACGATCAACTTTTATCAACTTATTCCCATTATATACAAAAATAGTATATCCGATCACTTTTTTATAATCCTCAAGGTTATTCTTGATGAAAAACCATCCTCAAGCACTCCTAGATATATACAAAAAATTGAGGAGTCTAAATTGGTTGCATATGTATTGAACGAAGATTGGAACTCAGTGTACGGATCATACAGATAAGTTTGCTAGTACGATACAATCCCACATAGAGAAAAGCACCATCAAAATAAAACTTACTGACAGGAAAAGGAAATGCTGGATAATAAATGGTCTATTAAGGTCGATAAACTATAAAAATGAACTTTTCCAACAAATGTTAAACAATCCATACGAACAAACTATAAAAAAAATCAAAGATTATCGTAACAAATTAGGTGATTTGATAAAAAAAAGAAAAGCAGACTATTAGAATAATTTTATTGTAACTAACTCAAATGACTCAAAGTCACTATGGAAATGTGTAAAAGATGTATCTTGTGTTTCCAACCGCGATAAGAGTATAAAAAGGATAATAACTAAAAATCAAGTAGAAGTCAATGATAAAAATATAATAGCCCAAGAATTTGCTAATTACTTCAACAATGTTGGTAAGCGACTCGCAGAAAACGTCGCTCCAACGACCTCCTTTGTAAACAACAAAAAACTTAAGAACTCCATTTTCCTGGAAGAAACCAATAAAGAAGAAGTGCTGTACTGTGGTCTCACTTTGTTTGTGTCGTCAGTTGTAATATTAGTATCAACTTGTTCTACTGATTTGACCGTTTGAGTTGTTTCGCCACACTTTTTGCTTATTATTTCAATTTTCTCGTAGAGTAAGTCAATTTTTTCATATAATTCTTCAATTATAATATCTTTTGCTTTAATTACTTCATCTTTTGATACGGTAAGCTGTTCGTTGACTTTTATGATATCATTGATTAACTTTTCGTTGGTATTAACACTTTTATCAATATTTACTCCTTCTTCCGAGCTCTTCTTGCTTTTATTTCGTGTACCTTGGCTCATGACTTACACTTCTGTACTTGGCTATTTTCTGGTACTACGTCGATACACTATAGACTCTTCTTGTGTGATTTGTCACTTTCTTGACACAAATTCCAAAAATGTCAAAAATATCGGCCAGGATGGTTGAAGATTCTAATACAGCACCAAACACTATCACCAACAAGTTCACGAGTACCTTATTTTCTTTACTCCAGCTGGGCACCTTCGTTGTTAAAAGCCTTTATCTTTTTCTCAGGATTCACAGGTATTTATACTAATTGTAGTATGAACGCTGGTCACTAGTGCTTCTCTAAGCCCTTTATAAATAACTGTTTCAGCGCAGGACAGTTTCCTGATAGTTTAAAAATCGCAGTCATAACTCCTGTATATAAAAAAGGTAATAAGTTAGAAATGACAAACTACAGACCCATTTCTTAACTTTCTTGCCTTGCTAAGATTATAGAGAAGATACTTTTTTACAAAATACGATGTCATTCACAGCAATCAGTATGGTTTTAGAGAGCACATTTCTACACAAGATGCTATAGCGGCTTCAACTAAGAAACTATACCAATTAATAGAGAACAGTATGCTTATTTGTGGACCTAGCCAAGGCATTTGACACGGTAAGTCACGCTAAGCTGCTGGAATCACTCGAAAATAACGGTATTAGGGGAAGTACCTTACAACTAATGATTAGCTATCTATCAGAACATAAACAGTGTGTTAGAATCAGCGAACTGACATGTGATTATGGGGTAGTACAATATGGCGTCCCCCAAGGGACGGGTTTAGGACCGGTACTGTTCAATATCGACACAAATGACCTTTTTTCATTGGACAGCAAAGGAACAATTTTGGGATTTGTTGATGATCCAGTAGTTAAATATGAAGGTGCTAACTGGGCAGAACTAAATATACTCATTGAGGATGATCTTAAATGGACGAAGCATATAGAATAAACCGTGAAAAAATGTAAATGCTGTTACCAAAATTTAAACATCTAACAGGATTACTGACTGAGAAATCTTTAAAAACATTATATTTTGCACTTGCTCAGTCTCATTTAAACTATGGTATCATTGGATGGGGAGCTGTGGCCACAAGACACCTCAGAAATCTCGAATGCGTACAAAAATACATACTTAAACTGATATACAAGAAAAATAAAAACATATCCTTCCAACGAGTTGTTTGATGAGGCTAATGTTTTTGACGTGAGACAGTTATATATGGACAATCTCATTACTTTTCAGTACAAAAATCGGTCCTCATTGAAGCAAATTGGACCCTGCTATTGTAACGCTTCCTTTCCGCAAAAAGTCCAGAAAAGATGGAATGCAATGAAGATTCCAACTTTTCTGCACAATCACAGAAAGGGGGTTACCATTAGCTTCCGGTAGCTCAGTCGGTGGCATGAAGACATCTACAGGCGTGTAGCTGTGTGTCGACCATGACATGGCTAGAGGATAGAAGAACAAACAGAACACAAAAATTTAACAGATTTTATTTAACAAAAAAAAAGGCATTTTCATTACATTACAATTTTACAAAAATAACAAAATAAGTTTTACATCTTTGGCGCTGCCATAACGCTATCGACTTATCTTTCGCTGGTCCATTTTTATTCGACTGAAGCCAGGATGGCCAGGGGCTTGAAGGGGAGGTCCCAGTTATGAGGGGTGACCTCCATATAGTGGCTTCACAACCAGTTGTAGGCGAAGTTAAAGGCGATGGCGCTGCCAAGGTACATGCATGGGTGAAAATATTGGCCAAGGCTAGGCAAAGTGAAAGGGAAAGAGAAAGGGGGTGGCCCCAATCATTTTTGTCCTATACGGACACAAATTCTAGAAAATTCTAGCACATGGTGCTATATAACCTTGTGCTACAGAGAAGAAATTTCTAGCCGTTGTTCGATCGGCGGCTCAAGTGAAAAGGAAAGCGCGAGGAAGATCGCAGATCAGGAACTCCGCATCAAGCGCTCCAAGCGGAAAATTTTCCAAGCAAAAAAGCTAGAGATGGGATTAATGAAATGATAATCGAGAAGTGATTTAATAAATACGATCGGACGGTGAAACCGTTACACTCGCCCCAACTTAACCAAAAAAAAAAAAATCGAAGAAGCATTTAAGAATTTTTTTTTTCTTTTACTAGGAAATTGAAAGTTATCACGGAAGGACAAATGTACAACCATTCGACCAGATAACAAGTAGTAAAAGTAAGGTAGAAACAAAAATGTTAGAAGAGAATTGGAAGAAGAAGGGATAGCCTCAAGTCTACCAAACAAGAGGGATGGTATAGCACCAACTCGCTGAAAAGTACAGTGAAGTTGCACTTAAAAAAAACTATCATCATATGATGAAAAACCCAAAACATAAAACATCGTCATACCTAAGACGAGAAAAATGATAAACCAAAAGTTTCAGCAGTAGTCCAAGCACGAATCACAATGGCATCCAAAATGCACGACTGACTACTAAAAACTTCAAAACTAAGTAAGTACCTAAACCATAAGAGGTACTAAAAAAATAATAATCTTTCTCAAAACAATTGCCAGATTATCTCGCAATACTCCAAACCCAAAAAGATTATGATCTACAGTGATATTTTAAACCAATATCCAATATAAAAAAACTGTGCATTACTATTTTCAAAATATGAAAATCAAAAGAAATTAACAAATTCTATTAAGAATTCCAGTTATATAACAAAACAATTTACAAGTACTAAACCAATGAAAACTTGATCACGAAGGTATTTTAATCAAAAAAGATGTTAACTAAGTGCAGTTCTGATTCCACAAAAAAATTGTCGGGCGCCAGCAGTCTGTAAGACTACAAAATAATTCAAAATATTTTCAGAGAATTAAAGTATATAAGGGACATTCATGAAATATTGAAGTAAGATTTTCAAAGTCAAAATATAGCTTAAGTTCAATCAATGAACTAAAATTCAAGAGTAAGTTCAATCAAAATTTTCGGGTCATGTGACAACATAAGAACCAGACCAAAAAAAATTTGAAGTACAATATAGAAAAGAGCAAAATAAATTTCCAAAAAAACTAAGTGCAACACAAGTGCAACTGTAAATCTAATAGTGTTAAAATCATAAAGTGAAAGGAAATATTAAAGCTATATGAGCATGATTTTATAAAGGGTTCTCAAAAAAATTTAAAAGTAAGCAAAATATTAAAAGTTTCATGAGTAATAAATGAGAAACGAAGTGAGCATATGTAAAATGCAAAATAGCGAAACGAAAATCACAAGATATTTTATTAAATCATGATACATGAGAGTAATGCCGCAAGCAAAAATTGTATGCAAAAGACTACGATATATGTAGGTGCAAAATTGGAGTTATAAAAAAAATCTAGTGAACAAGAAATAGAAATAAATATGATAGGTAAGAATTCGAATTTTGATTTAAAGCAAAAATATGAGAGAAAGACAACATTCTAGGGTCACCATAGGTGCATTCCAAAGCCCTAGACAAGAATGTCTATGGTCTATGGAATATTCTCATGTAGATCACTGATATCATCAGCGCACTTCAAAGTCTACACTGAAAATAACCATATCATTGTAAAATGAAAGTTAAGTTCAAATATGAAATATTACAAGATTAGAAAAACTATAATAATATACCAGTGTAAAATATGAGAAGAGAATTACTATACTGAATCTATTAGAATGGGCGATTACTTCAAGTCAAGACAGAAATTGAAAGAAATAAGAAGTCGGAAAAAAAAAATATGAGAGCAGACTATCAAAACAAATGCAATAATGCAAAAGCAAAATCACCAGATATTTCAAAATCTATAGCGAAACATGAAAGCAATGTCGCAACCAAGCTCAAGACTTAGCAATACGCACAAATGTGCACAAAGGCTGAAAGCATATATGAAAAATCTCAAGAAGGAATTGACAATTACTTCAAATCAAATTGAACTGATTGAATTGAACTGAGACATAAATTACTATATCAAAAGTGAGTTTTACTTATACGCCAGAGGTTTCAAGAGTTTATCAATACGCACAGATTTGCAACTAGGCGGAAAGCATATATGACAAGTCTCAAGAAGAAAATAAAATGCATATGAAGAAAACACTTTCAATTAAAGAAACTGTGGATAGTACAAGACCCTCAAAGGCATACATCGCAACGAATCTATGTAACTATCCAGACTACAAAATACTGTCAAAGTTCAAAACCACTCAAAAATATGTAAACAAACATCAAAAGTTTGAACCAAAAATCAATGTAAGTCTGTGCTCTCGAAGAAAGTTATAATGAATTCAAAAAGAGGATACTATCAAAAACTTCAAAAGTAATAGACTTCAAAAATAGAAGTACGTAAGTATGTAAAGGAAATTCAGAAAATATACGCATAAAAACATTATAAAATATTATACACAGTATTTGTCACATGATTTAGATCGGGAATGCAATTTAAATTTTGAGTACACTCAGAAAAATGAAATATTCAAAAGATGAAGTATACACATTAAATTGGAATCAGATAAATAATGATTACTTGTAAATTTTGTACATGGTGGACTGACGTAATGGTTCAAAAGGTTGAAAGAACAACGATGACTAATGTCCAAAGTAAACATTCACCTGCCTTTTACAGGAAATTAGCTTAACAATTATCAAAGGAAATTCTTGTCCGTTCGCATCTGTACTTGGAAATAAAAATAGGAAAACCTACTCGCTCCAATGTACAGATCGAAAAACTCGCCCCCTTCGATTGAGCGGAAATATGAGTATTGGACAAATTGTAATATTTCAAAAGGTTGAAGGATCAACGATGTTAAATGTCCAAAGTAAACAATCAGCTGCCTCTTACAGCAAATAAGTTTAATCATTATCAAAGGAAATTCTTCTCCGTTCGCATCTGTACTAGGAAATAAATATAGGAAAACCTACTTGCTCCAATGTACAGATCGAAAAACTCGCCCCCTTCGATTGAGCGGAAATATAAAAGGATCCAAAACACTATAAAAAACTAACAATACAAACAAACAGTTTCAATACAAAAACAGGAGCAGCCGAATCTTAAAAAAAATTATTTTATATCTGTCATACATTAAAAAAGTGCAGAGACGTTCAAGTCCTGTTAATCCAGTGGAAAATCAGACACTAATGTTCTAATTTCCCCCAAAGAATATGCCAGATAAAAGTATAAAACATTAAAATTATGAAAACTTATGCTCCAAACAAGAGACAAAATTACTACAATAGTTACTGAGGAACGTATACTATATATTTAAACAACAAGTTGACATTTAATTACCATAAATGAGTATGTGTGTCTTTGTATAGGTAAAAATGATTTAGGAGTCACCCCCTCATTGAAAAGTAGCAAAAATATAGTCAAGAAAAACATCATTTGTTTCTTGAAAAAAAAGAAAGGTAAGTATCAACGCACTATGTCAAAGTGTCAATACTTAAAAAAAGTAAACCGCCAAAATATACGAAAAATTATGAATATCAATTTCATATAATTCAGAAAAATGGATAAATCGCAAAATGATTTACTCCAGATAACTCTAGTCAGTAGATTATTGCCATCAGAATGAAAACAAATGATCAAAAGTTCAAGTACAGTCAAAAATTCAA